CCGGAGCCCGGTGTGACATAGTATCCGGATCTAATTTTTAGCCAGTAGAGATAGCGCGTGTGCGCGATAAGGTCCCATGCGAGGTTCATATGCATTAGCAGTCAGATTTCTCCTATCGTCAGTGAGGCTGCCACTTTATGCCTGTAATTCACGTGTCTACATAAACTTGATTCGTTCTCCGAACGCGCACACGTTGTCATGGCGATAACGCAATAAACGCGGCGCTGGCGATGGTTTGCCGCCATCTTTAAGTTGTCGCGACACTGTCCATCACTAGCACCCGATAGTCACCGCAAATGAAATAGCGACGAAGTCCTATAGGCCTGTAACTACGTAATCGTGCACGTCCGTGCATGTGTGTTGAACGTCGAGCCCGGTAATGCTGCTGGGGTATACTAGGAGCTGCGCTTCTCCACGGCATCATTTGCAGATATGCATATTTCACGTGGTCGGGACGTAGGATATATTATTGGCAGCACATGGACACATAGACGTGGGGGGGGGGGGTAGTTGGTAAGGTACGGCCGATGCATTCTGTAGGGCTATATCGCCATACTACACTAACTAGTTGGCGAGGTACTGTCAAAGTATTCCGCACACATAGTTATGTCTTATGTCTTATGGCCTGTTGTCTTATGCAATTTCAAAGAAGTATTATTATTCGTGTCCAGGCGTTTTATTGCCGGATCTGTTCACGTGTGTGGAGACACGTCACATTATCGCGTTATGTCCGCGTTACATCACAGTGCAGTTATAGATTATATGTAACGACTTAATTGTGCAAACGCAAAAGTTAGCGGCAGGCGCGTATAAACGTCACCAACGCTCCCTATAGCGGAATAAAATCATCCAACCTTCACTCGATGGGATAAAGTGAGGTATGTTTCAGGTGTTATTAAATAATATCAGAAGCGTATAATGACAAATACGTCATTATACGCGTATTTATATTAAAAATTGTCATTATACGCTCCCGATAATATCTATAAATTACTGGTATTCTAGTTGTTTGTGCACAGCGGCGTGAGTGCGGTGTACTTGTGTGTTGCAGAGGAGTATCTGAACGGCATTTACAGGAAGTTATCGGCAATAATAAGCGAAGGAGAGTAGAGAAACATTAAGAATTTTGTCGTAAATACATTCGTGTTTATTCACCCCTTTTTTATTGAGACGTTCCAAGTGCCTGTGGTGATACGCAGGTGTCCGTGTGATGATGAATAGCTAGTTGCAGCTCTTTTCAGCTGCATGCACCCGTCTAAAACTGGTGTAAAGCAACCGATGGCTTCACATGTGCCGTTTTAAATGAAGAAGTAGGCCCATGGGGTATCTAAGCGCATGAGCGTCGCTCTCTTCCACCACCCCAGGTAACCTAGCTAGGGGAGTAGCTAACTTATTTTTGCCGGCGGGCAAGTTAAAACTACGCGCGGGCTGTGTTCTCTAGTTTAGACATGAGCTATATTTGCCATATAATAGTATCCACATTGGTCTAGGTGGGCAATTTCTCTCACCCTTTGTTCACCCCCCCCCCTGCTAGCTACATCTTGTAGATGCAATTTTCGCATGCGTAACTAATACGTTTGTGGGCTGTTTTACCCACGCGCTCACCCGGCGAATATTTCTAGCATTTAGCGTATCCTGCGGCTTTAACCTGAAGTTGTGTGAGCCAAAGATCAGACTACGTGTTACGTTATCTCTCTGTCATCTTTACTTTTGCGCCAATGGGTTAAATCGGTAGCTATAGAAGGCAAATTTCTCACATTCATTTGGGAATAATGTACCCATAGATGATATCGACGCAGCTAGCAAACTGAAGATGGCGCCACTGCCATTGTTATAACTCGAATGCACCTGGTACTACTGGTGCACCAATTTCCACCAGAGTTACAGGAATATTCGGATAGGTATCTACCGGAACTGCTTAGACACATGTTCAAGCTCTATGTACCTTGAATTCGCTGCGCCTCGCGCAAGCCAATGCTATTTGATAGTCCGCAACTCTTTTGTTGGCATATGTTACATATAAATCTCTCTTTTTTTTACATCAAACTACCCGTGAGTATCCAAACTGCAAACCACAGATTATGCAAACTATAAGTTCTGTCATCAGGCACTGTGCATGTGCGAACACAAGCTAAACTGTCTGCGTATACTGACAATTAACTAAACCAGTATTTCTCAAATTGGGGCGCGATCGCCGGTAAGTCGGAAGATTACTTTTAGGTGCTCGCGAGATGTAAGCGCGATCCAAGAGTTTTTCATATCCCCAATGACAGTCACATTGTCACTACCGATCCTAACTATCGATAATTCTCACTACCGATAATTCCTATAATATATAAACGCGTATCATAAGTATAATAAATATTGGACCAAATTTAGTATTTTGGAGACAAAATAGGTTTGTTACAAATGAGTAAAGTGAACACAGCGTTAAAAAGCATGACATTAATAAGAAATAACACATAACTATAATAAATTTGTATTTGGGCTTTATTTATATTATTATATATATGTAATATATTAATGCGATATCGGTTAGGCCTGCTTTCAATATGCTGTAAAAAAAATACACATAAAGACAACATGTTTCTTGAACTAATACAAAAATGTAGACAGTTGCAACCACAATAGCAACAACAACAACATCATCATCATCATCATCATCAACAACAACAACAACAACAACAACAACAACAACAGCAGCAGCAGCGGTAGCAACGCTCTATCACAATTTAACTCAAATATTTGACTACATATACACATAATAACATTAGTGAAATTTTTATAAACAAAAATTATTTTCTCCCTGTGTGCTTCTCCAGTCGCTTTTAGTCCAACGAATTAATTGAGCTGAGATCACTTGAGTCACATATTGAAAGTATCAATCAACGTATCACACTAAAAAAAAGTAACAAAGTCGTATCGTCTTAATAAATTTGAATAGTTTAAATAGCCTGTAATGATAATTCATAATAGTACATAATTTTGACTAGAATAACGAGTAAAACCAAGTCCACGTGTTATATATATATATCCGTAACTCTGGTTCGGTAACTTGTCTTGTTAAGGATACTGTTATGGGTACGGACGGGTAACACTGTAAAGGGCATTGCAACATAACTGCTCACCAAATTCAATCAAACTTATATCCATTACATAAGAGAGATGTCTCTCTACGCTCTTGCTGAATTCTTTTTTTAATTCATCGCTAATTAAGGGACGGCAAAAATTGTGAATTTATACAAAAAAATGTTTTTGTTTTTTATTTCTCAGAAACAGCAAAGAGTTGGGACCTAAACTTTTAACCATAGGTTGTTCATAATATGAACTAAAAAAGGGTCCCTGGAATTTTTTTTAAATGCTGAATAAGTTGAAAAGATGCTGAATAAGTTGAAAAGATGTACAAAAATTTGTAGTGATTTTTAAAACGCAACAATTTCGTAAGCAAAGAGCCATAACTTATAAAATATAATATTTTAAAAAAATTCCAGGGATTCTTTTTTCCTTTGATATGTTAGCATTGAAACGTAACAAACATTTTTGGAATCGGAGTTGTGAGTTTCGAGAAATAGCGTTTGAAAAATCAGCAACTTCAGCATTTTAATAATGGAGATATTAGCACTTTTCTAAATTTCCTATGATTGAACGCCAGTGTTAAGAATTGACTAATGCGGGAATTTGAAACTGTTTGGGAGGCTACGGATACATATCTGCCCATGGGTCCGATATATCAAATAAAATGGGTATTGAAATTTCGACCGAAAATCACCTCCCAACCGGCCTAACAGTATCCTTAACATCAAGTAATCAGTAACATCAAGTAATCTTTCACAACTAAAGAAAAATTAAAGAATATTCTTATGGGATAACACTATCGTTGCATCAATCTATAGTTGCATACAAGTTCAATATAATAGTAATCACAGATTCATAGAAGGCCACGTTTCTCGAATTCGAAAATATATAATTCACTTGCCTCCTTTTTAATTGTCAATCAAACACCAACAATTTAACTAGTTAAACCCCATATGACAAGTTGTTTGTTAGCCACATAATTAATATTAAAACACAATATAAGTTATTATACAGTGTAATATAAGTCCAAGTTTATGCAATATGGCGACTTGGTAGGCATCAGATTAAAAAATTGCACTAGTACGAGCACGCAAGTGTGTGCATAGTGTCACGTGAAACACACAAGCACATGCACACACATACACACACGCGCGCACGCGCGCACACGCACATACACACGCACACACACGCACACTCATATATATATATGTATAATTATATATACATATATACAGGTCTTACAAACAACTGGTTCCTGACCCCGGAGAACAATTTCGCATGAAACTTCTATTCACTCTTTATCTCAGATACGAGGTCGGCGCGCGTAATGCAAGACATTATTCGCTAGAAATAACGTTGTGTTTGTTCGGATAATACTCTATTTATTATGCCATTGTTAATAAAGGGTGGTAGTTAAATAGTATTTGTCGGAATAACAGAAGCTTTACTGCAAGTATCGGCGTAGAGACCGAAAAAAGAAAGATGCCTCAGCGATAATTTAACTTGTATGTACATGAGTTAATAGACTTACATTAACATGTTGTGATATACGTTACATATGTACATTTATATGGACGCCAGGCAGCCTCCTTCTAAAGGTTAGCCAGTTAGTCATATTAACACACTATATTGACGCAGAAAATAATTTCAGGTTCTATTCCTGCCACTATGACACCTTTTTCGACTCTACCTGCCATGGCGTGGCATGGTATACATCCCACTATAGCAAACGCCCTCCCTCTACATCGCACGAGGGCAATAAAGATAGAATCCTCACGCCCATGCGCAGTGCACCATGCGCCCAGCTAGACATGTCCATGCAAACTTCACGACAGATGGCGCTCTCGTTCATTGGCTCAATCTACCTGAGTGTGCGAAGGGGGGCGCTGCATGCAGTTTGATGTCCATGCTCAGGCATACTTTAGAAGTGGCGAATTTGCCATAGGCAGGATGTGTACCCACGCTACACGGGCCTGGTGGCGGCAACGCTACACGGGCCTGGTGGCGGCAACGCTCCACGAAATCAAATCATTCCAATCCGAATCCTTCCGCATTAGAGATTGCGATGATGAGTTTGTGCTTCAGGACCTTTCGATTTCTGTAGTCGGGAAGCACCAGCTGATTGAAGCAGGTGTGTGACATAGGCAGCCTGAAATACGTGGAGTAGTAGAATTTTTCACGTTCGTCCACTCGTCAAATGATTGAACAGCACCGAAAAGCATTGTTTTCGGTATACGGCGATTTACGATTAGAGAAATACAGAGACGGGTCGAGTTTTACATTCCTCTTCTGTAGTTCTTACATGTCGTTGTTGGCGTCGACCCGAGTTATCTTGAAGGTCATCTCCGACATGCCACCTATCGGTACTCGGTCGCTGCCCGTCGTGAACAGTAGAAGGCTCTTGTGTAAATGCGTAGGCAAATCTAGCACGACGTCCCAAAACATCCTACCATTCACAAAATATACCATGTCAACATGCGCGTTAAACCAATATCTTTAATCTCAACGGCTTTGAGGAAGAAATTAAATAAAAACATAATTAGACATTTTAAATATACGTATAGGCGTGCACACGCGAAGAGGCACACCCGGCGGGCAAATAAGCTCGCACGTTCGCGCGCACATGCACACGCATATGGGGCGCCAAGTGTCGCATGACTGATTTCGTTACGAAATCAATGATTTTATAACGAAATCAAGTCTACAAAGTGATTTCGTTACGAAATCAACTACTGCGAGGGATTTCGTTACGAAATTAGCTACTGTGAGTGATTTTGTTACGAAATCAGCTACTGCAAGTGATTTCGTTACGAAATCATGCTACACTTAGCGCCCCGGCACGCCAAGTGTCGCATGACTTTATTTCGTTACAAAATCAAGTCTACAAAGTGATTTCGTTACGAAATCAAGTCTACAAAGTGATTTCGTTACGAAATCAACTACTGCGAGCTGGCGCCAAGTGTAGCATGATTTCGTAACGAAATCACTTGCAGTAGCTATCTACAAAAGTGATTTATCGTTACGAAATCAAACTATCTGGCGAGTTGATTTTCGTAGAAAATCACGCTACTGCGGTGATTCGTTAGCGAATCAGCCTACTGCGCAAGGTGATTCGTTACGAAAATCATGCTTACACTGGCGCCCCGGCACGCCAAGTGTGCATGAGCTTTATTTCGTCTACAAACAATAGTCTACAAAGTGATTCGTTACGAAATCAAGCTATGCGAGTGATTTCGTTACGAAATCAACTACTGGCGAATTGATTTCGTTTACGAAATCCAACTACTGCGAGTGATTTCGTTTACGACCAATCAGCTACTAGCGGAGTCGATTTCGTTACGAAATCAGGGCTATGCGCGTGATTTCGTGACGAAAGCAGATGCGACATTGTCCACGCTGGCGCCGCCAAGTGTAGCATACTTTTTTCGTAAACGAAATGCAAAGTCACAAAGTGTATTTCGCTTAGCGAAATCAACTAGCTGAGCGTTATTTCGTTACGAAAATCATGTCAACACTCGGCGAGCCGGCGCGCAAAGTGTAGCATGACTTGATTTCGTTACGGGAAATCAGCCTACTGCGGAGTGATTTCGCTACGAAAATCATGCTACACTTGCGCGCGTTCCGAGCGCGCCAATATGTCGCATAACTGATTTCGTTACTAAATAGCTACTGCAACGATTGATTTCGTTACGAAATCATGCTACACTTGCGCGTTGGGTGGCAAATGTCGCATGACTGATTTTCGTTAAGATAATCATTGATTTTCGTTAACGGAAATCAAGTCTAACAAAAGAATTTCGTTACGAAATTAAGTCACAAAGTGACTTTGTACGACAATCAACGATACTTGCGAGTGAATTTCGTACGAATCAGCTTACTGCAATCGACAGTGAATTCGTTACGAAATCAATGCTACATTGCTGATAAGCGGCCCAAGGTGCATCGCATGGATCTGATTTCGTTACGAAATCAATGCGATTGCTTTGCAACGAAATCAAATCTCGAAGGGATTTCGTATACGTAAATCAAGCTACATAAAGTGATTTCGCATTACGAAATCAACTACTGCGAGTGAATTTCGTGACGAAATCAGCTACTGCCTGCAATCGAAGATGATTTCGCTTACACCATCATGCTACACTTTGGCGTTAGGGCCAAAGTGTCGCATGCTGATTTCGTTTACTAAATCATTGATTCGAACGAAATCAAGTCTAACAAAGTGATTCGTTACGAAATACAACTACTGCGAGTGATTTCGTGACGAAATTAGCTACTACAATCGAAGTGATTTCGATTGACGAATCAATGCACACTTGGCGTAAAGGGCGGCAAGTGTACGCATGCTGATTTCGTTTATTAACATCATTGATTTCCGTTAACGAATCAAGTCTAACAAAGTGGCATTTTCGTTACGTTCGAAATCAGTTCTACAAAGTGATTTCGTGTACGAAATCAACGTACTGCAGTATTTCGTGACGAAATCAGGCTACTACAACGGGCTGATTTCGTTACGAAATCAATGCTTACACTTGCGCGTAAGCGGCGCCAAGGTCCGCAATGGCTGATTTCGTTACTAAATCATTGATTTCGTAACGAAATCAAGTCTACAAAGGTCGGATTTCTTGTTCTACGAAATCAAGGTCTACAAAGTGATTTCGTTACAAATCAACTACTGCGAGTGATTCGTGACCGAAATCAGCTACTACCAAATCGACGTGCAATTTCCGTTTACGAAATCATGCCTTACACTTGGCGTAAGGGCGCCAAGTGTCGACATGACGCTGATTTTCGTTACTAAATCATTTGTATTTCGATTAACGAAATCAAGTCTCAAAGATGAATTATTCAGTTTAATCGAAAATGCAACAGGTCATATAATAAGGCCTATGCGACTACGTTGGCGCGTTGAGTTGCTCGACGCTTACGAATGTAGCACTATGATTTTTAACGCTTAGACCAGGATATCAATTTCGTCGACCCGGAGTTGTTAAAGTAAATGCAGCCCTGATACCTTCTGTTCTTCACAATACGCGAAATCTACTCGCAGTTTAGTTGGATTTCGATATTTACTCGAAACTCACTGTTGTTAAACTTGAAAATCATTTGCTCGAGTCACTTAGGAAGAGATCGACTTTGTAGGATTGATTTCGTTACGACACTCTCAAGGGATGATTTTCCAAAGGTGTAATCGCAAATCAGGCCATGCGAAATTCCTTGGCCGGCCCTTACGGACTCTATACGTGGCTAGAGCATTGAATTTCGATAAATCACGCAAAATCATCTATCTCGATTCGTAGTAGCTGATTTCGTCACGAATCATCACTACGCCGAGTAGGAGATGCAATTGAATTGTCGTAATAAGAATCACTCTCATAAAGTATTTGAATTTTCGGGTTTACATAAATCGAAATGAATATTAGTTAAGTCTGGAAACTTATCACCATAGACATCTTAGGCGCAGTATTTCCTATGCCAAGTGCTACGCAGTGATTTCATCACACCGAATATCACAACTTTATATGCTAAGCTAGCTGATTCGTCCCCGAAAATCACTCAGGCAGTAGTTGATTTCGTAACGGATAAGTGACACTTTTTTTAGACGTTTGCATTTCAGTAACGCGGAAAAAATCCACTTCCTTAGATTGGATCTTCGTTGCAAATGATCATTATGTGACCATAATTTCGATAAACGAAATCCTGTCATGCGCAGCAACTTGGCGCGTGCACTTATCCAAGTTTGTGAGCCATGATTCGCGTAAAATCAATCGACATTATCACCTTTCTGGATCTTCGCTCAGTAGCTGATATTTGGGCGTCTCACACAACTCGTGCTCGCACTAGTTGATTTACTGCTGAACTAATTTCCAGCTAATCGAATAAGTCAAAGCTTTTACTACTCTCCGTAAACGGCTTACACACTCTGCTTAGCGTAAGACTTAGATGTTTCACGTATCAGAAATCAATGAAATTTCATTGTATACAGAGAAATCACTCTTAGTCATGCGTGACATCACTTGTCAACCCCACTATGCGCCATATGATTATATTGTGTAGCATGATTTTACGTGAACGAAATCAAACCGATTGCAGTAGCCTGATTTAGTAAGCGAAATCAGTAATGACGACATTTTGGCGCGCACGGCGCGCCAGGAGGCGAAGCTTTTAGCAAAATGAACAATAGCTGTTATAACGAATAGCAGTACGTGACAAAGTGAGGCTGAGTTAGAATACGAATAACGAAATCAAATATCTGCACATTAGCCTCAATTCGGGGCTCGCGGCTGTGCCGTTGCTCGCATGGCAGGTTGAAATAAGACTGTTACCCGGTCCCATGCTCCTTCGGCCTTATGTTACTCGATGGCTTACGTTTCCATCGACTAATCCAAGTATCGGCCGAGCGACAGTAACCAGTCCTAGGATGTGGACTGCCGGGAATTTAGGAAATCGGAACGGTTTGCTATATTCCGGCCGGCTTACAGGAGAGAGATGGTGAGTGGTGAGAGAAGGGTAGGAGAGAAGCTGGTGCGAGAAGGAGGAGGGGTGAGATTGTTTTTTTGATTATTATATTGTGAATTGTTTTATGTTTAATGGATATATTCTTTTTGTTATGATGTATATTTATCTATTTTTGATGTTTTGTATATATATGGTATATGTTTATATAGAGATATATTATATATGAGTATGAGTTATTTTATTTTTGTTTGTGTGTATGTATTATTGGTTTATTGTATATGTGGGGAGAAGTATTGTTTGTTTTTTGTTTTGTATTTATATTTTATATGTTTTTTTTAGTTGATATTTTAGCTTTTTTTTTGTTTTTTTTTTTTTTTTGATGATATGTAGGTATGTTTGATAATTTGCTGAAGGAGTTGGACAGGCTTTTTTATGTATTAATGTGCTGTGTTGTGGGGTAGGTAAGGTGAGGTTGAAGGTGTATATATATTTTATGGTGCTTAGTTGTGGTAAGGGAGTGGTGGTCTGGGGAGGTGTGGGTAGAGATCTGGGCGGAGATAGGAGAAGGGAGAGCTGTGGAGAATGAAGAAGGAGAGAAGGGAGAGGTGGTGGAGAAGGAGGAGGGAGAAGCTGGCGGAGAAGGGAGGAAGGCGAGCAAGGATAGAGTCGCTGGAGAGAGGAGGAGGTGAGAAAGCTGGTTGGAGAAGGAGGAGGGCGGAGAGGGCGAGAAGGGTGGTGGAGAGGAAGAAAAAGCTTAGCTGTGAGAAGAAGGTAGGCGAGAAGGCTGCGTGGAGAGAGGAGGGAGGGAAGAAGGAGGGCGGAGAGGGACCGTTGGTGGGCAGGAGGAGGGGGAGAAGGTAGAACCGGGATTAAGGAGGAGGAGAATGGAGTGGGTGCGAGGAGAAGAGGTGAGAGAGCGAGCCAAGGGTGGTGGGAGTGAGTTGTGTAGTGAGAGGCTGTGGAGAAGGAGGAAGGGAGAGAAGAGAGAGTGGTGGAGAAGGAGAATGGGCAAGCTGGTGGCTGAGAAGAGAGGTGTGAGGCGGAGCTCGTTGAGAGAAGGCGGAAGGGAGAGAAGGAGGGGGAGAAGAGCAGCTGGTGGAGGAGGAGCGGGAGAAGGGAGAAGCTGAGTGGAGAAGGAGGATGGAGAAGCTGTGTGGCAGAAGAGAGGAAGAAGGAGGGGGCGAGAAGCTGGATGGACGAAGGAGGAAGCGGAGAAGGGGAGAAAGGTGGATGGATGAGGAGGAAGCGAGATAAGCTGGTGGAGAAGCGAGAGAGTGTGGAGAAGGAGGAAGCTCTACGACCAGCCTTCTCTTTCCTCCCTCCTTCATCCACAGCTTCTCCCTTCTCCCCTCCTTCTCCACCACTATCCTTCTTCTCCCCTCCTCCTTCTCACCAAGCTTCACCCCTCCTCCTTCTCCACCAGCTTCTCCCCTCCTCCTTCTCACCACCTTCTTCTTCCCTTTTCCTCCTTCTCATCATTCTCCCTTCCTCTCTCTTCACACCTTCTCCCTTTCTCCCCTTGTCCTTTCTCCACCGCTTCATCCCCCTCCTACCTTCTCACCGAGCTTCTCCCTCTCCCCTTCCTCATTCATCCACGCAGCTTCGGCCCCCTCCTCCTCTCACCAGCTTCCCCCTCCTCCTTCTTCACCACCTTCTCCCTTCCCGCTTCCTCATTCTCCACGCAGGCTTTCTCCCCTGCCTCTCCTCTCACCATGCTTCTTCTCCTTCCTTCTTCTCCACCACCTACCGATGCTTTCACACTTCATGCAGCAGTGAGAATCGCTTTGCGATACAAGCCTGGAAGTGACGTCACGAAACACGCGATTACTATCAGAATTGGGTGTATAACACAAAACACGCTGACAAAATATGACAAATTGATCTCCGTGTGTACCGCCTCGATATATGGACAACCCCACATCGACCGATCAAAATATTGTTGATGACAAAATTGAGGTCACGGCGTTATCTCGCATCCTGGAGAAAGTCGGAGTTTTTTTTCCCCAAGTTAGGCAATTAAAGGCAAATATTTATCATGATTTTAGTTACATACAATTATTAAAAATTTCAGAATAAGTTTAAGAAAGTTATTAGTCGTTAGTCTTTACTCGCAGTAGCTGCATTTCGGTCACGAAATCACTCCATGTAACTGATTTTCATTAAACTGAAATCACTTTGGGGGGTTGAGACTTGATTTTCGGTAACGAAATCATTTCCAGATTGAGTTTCGTTATGAAATCATTTTTCGTAACCATGAAATCATGTACGAATGAGACACTTGGGCGCTCCCACTACGCCAAGCGTCGGTAGGCATGTATTCGGATAACGAAAGTTGCACTCTGTGAGTTTTCCGACTGGGAGCATGCGAAATTTTTTAGGTAACGAAATCAGTAAATGCGACATTTGGCGCGCCGGCGTAACGTCCGCACGAAA